TGGACTACCATCTGCGTGTTGAGCAAATCATTAGAGAAGCTGGATTATCTGAAGAAGGATGTGGTGTCAGAGGAAACCAGCCTCCAATGTCCAAAGGGCCAGAAGGCACAAATGTACGATGACGACGATGATATATAAAGATTACAGTAAAGTCATAGAGGCTATGAAAGATAGGAGAATAAAGGAGTCAGACACAGTTTTTGGTATTATTCTCACCTCAGCTCCTCCTGATGGACCACATGGAACTGGGAGAGGTGAGAGTGAGCCTTTACTGTCTTGGGACATTTATAGGAAGCCTTAAGACATGCATATTCACTAATTACATGCGTCACAAGGTGGGTGGTATCTATATTAAAGGTCCCTGAGCTCACAGGTGAGGAACACCTAACACCTGCATTGGGGGAAGGAACAAGGGGGGTTGGCTGTCACCGTGTGAAGAGAGAGCAAAAGGACAGTGTCTGGTTCTATAGGGAGATATAATCCACCAATCAACCATGTGCTCACTTTAAGGCAGCATAGTTGTTTGGGGGAGAATCTGTAAAAATGATATTTAAAGCAGGATGATGTACTTGGACTTTACTTCTAATTTACCAAAGTGAAGGCTTTCCTATTGTGGAATACCAGTTTCCCAGATTCCCTCTGTTATAAGTTAGGAAATATAGTCCTCGTCATATTTCCCTCAATGTTACTTTCCCACAATGTGGCATCAGGATTGGAGGAAGGCTTATGAAGAACCTGTGATATGCAGATGCCACCACTTGCTTGCTGAAAGTGAGGAGGACTTGCACTTGCTGATGAAGATCAAGGATTGCAGCCTTCAGTAGAGATTGCAACTCAATGTAAAAGAAGATCACAATCCTCAAAACTGGACCAATAGGTAACATGATGCTAAATGGAGAAAGATTGGAGTTTTCAGAGATTTTGTCTTTCTTGGATCCACACTTATGGAAGCAGCACTTGAGAGATCAAAGGATGGGTTGCACTGGGTAAATCTACCTTCTACTTGCTGTGTGATGTTGGGCAATTTATCTCCTCTGTGTCGTAGTTCTTCATCTGTAAAATAGAGGAAATGGAACTGATAGAATCTATCTGATAGGGTCATTTTGAGGATTAATTAAATACGTTATTGTCATCGCTAACGTGTTAAGATAAATACTGAACAATAGGAATGTTCATTATTACTATACAGAGTATAGTGTATGAGAGTAAGAATAAAGTAAAAATAATCCATTATAGATCTACTCATATTAATACATTGCTATGTCCTTCTGATCTATTTTACACATATATATATTGCTTTGCCAAAGTTATATTTAGGACACACACACACACTTAACTATATAGAGAATATTCCTTTTTTGTCTTTTGTATATATTAAGAAAAGTCTCATTGTATGATTGTTAGATTTAGTCAACAAATCCTCTACTCTTGGACATTGTTGTCCCCCACTTGTTGGTATTATAAATACAGACGTTAAGAACCCTGGTAGCATATTAGGGTATGCATTGGGTTGCTAACTGTAAGGTCAACAGTTTGAAACCACCAGCCATTCCATAGGAGAGAGATGGGGCTTTCTGTTCCTGTAAAGATTTAGTCTTGTGTTTATCTATATAAGATAGGCATGAGAAGCAAGACTGAGGAGAAAGCATCAGAACCGATGGTTCCAGGGGGACTTGGGGGAGGAGGAGGCAGGGGAATGGGAGAGGAGAACATATAATGTCATGGACAGGGGAACAACTAGGGATCTAAAATCAATGGCGAGGGGGGCATGGAGTTCCTGGTGGTGGTGGAACAGCTGTAATCTAGCCATGAGGAATCACTGAGAGGCAAATGAGGGGTGAGTGCAATAGTGGGGCAGGAGGAAAGTAAAAGGAAATAGAGGGAAAAAACAGGAAGCAAAACTCTATATAAATATAAACAAAGACGAGTACATATATAAATATATTAACCCATAAAAATAGGGGTATTGGACTATGTATATATATTTATATGGCAATACATTGAGGTAGTGGATGGACTCTGGGGCTCTAAAGTATTCCCTCAACACAAGAATACTTTGTTCTAATAATTTGGCCCACCTTCTGGACACGATTACTGAAGACAAACTGGGTGCATAGCAAAGGTGGTGAAGAAAGCAGATGGTGCTCAGCTATTAAAAGATATAGCACGTGAGGTCTTGAAAGCTTGATGCCAAAAAAAAAAAAAAAAGCTTGATGCCAAGCAAGATGTGGCCATCTAGCAGGGAATCAACAAAGCCCACATGGAAGAAGCACATCAGCCTGTGTGATCATGAGGTGTCGATGGAAACAGGCATCAGAAGTTCAAACATGAACAACCTCATCAAGGTGAAGGAGAGGAGTCAAAGTAGAGACCCAGAGTCCATCCATGGATAATTGGACATTACCACATAGAGGGGCTGCACAGAAGAGAAGATACATCCAAGGGGCAGTTTAGCACCAAGTAAACACAAAACACTCCTCTAGTTCTTTAATCCTTCCTCTCCCCACTATTATGATGTCAGTCCACCACGCAAATCCTGCTAGACTGGTGTACATACACTGGTACAGACAAGAGCTTTCAATATATGGAATGCAGGATAGACAAACCCTCTTAGAAACAGTAATGGGAGTAATGATTCCAGGAGGGTAGGGAAAGGGAGGAGAGGGGGAATGGATAGTAATGATGGTGGAATAACCCCACTGGAGGGGGACAAATACCAGGATAGTAGGTGAAGGGATAGAATGGGCAGTGTAAGATATGTATAAATAAAAATACATAATATATAAAAGGTTCCCCCCGAAAAAGGGTTCACTGGGGTGGTAGGGTGGGGAAGGGAGGGAATAAAGAGGAGCTGACATCAAAGGGCTCAAGATAATGTTTTGAAAGTGTTGATGCCAACATTTGTACATGTCCACTTGGTATGATGGATGTATGGATTGATATAATGTGTGTAAGAGCCCCTAATAAAATGATTTATTAATTAAAAAAGAAAATATTTAGTCTTGTAAACTCACAGGAACAGTTCTACTTTGCCCTGTAGGGTTGCTAGTAATCATAATCAACTTGATGGAAGTGAATTAAAAAAAAAAGTAATGCATTTTATAACATCTATTCAAACAACTTCCAATCATATACAAACATACAATCACTCAACCCCGGTAAAGCCTATTATAATAAAAATTCAAG